GGACTCAGCAGCGAGTCTTCAAGGTGAACCTCAGGGACTGTGTCAATCACTAGATCCTGTCTGAACTGGAATCACAGGACTGTGTTCCCTCTGCAGATACACATGACATTCCTGACCTGTATATGTGTTTAATACTGTAGGTGAGTTATCTGCACTTTGTCATAAAAATGTAGTAATTGTGAGTTATACTCCATCTCTACACACTGATCTTCTGTGATCTCCTTGAAGTTGGCACTTCTTATTTGGGATCTGGTGTCTCATCGGAGCCAAAGCACATAGGTTTCTTCTTGGATTCAGGCTGTCGGCTAGACTCAATGTTTGGGGACAATGTCTGCCTCTTCTACTTCCAGGTGGTCACAGAGATGTGAGCATAGGATGTACTTCTCTTCCCTATGTCCTGGGATGTATGTCTTTGAATGACGTCAGAAGCCTCCTTTCACATGGTTAATTGGAAGATCTCCTGTCCCTATTACATGATGTCCCTAGAGAAAAAGCAGCCAGTAGAGAGATGGACCCATGCTTCAGGGCACCGAGTACAGTGTCCAGCGTGTATGAGTAGAGTATATTCTTCATGGTGTGGACTGGATGGAAGCAATAACCAGGGTAGCCAGATGCCTTACTGAGGACCCTCTGAGCTCCACTAGGTGGTGCTGGTGTTCACCCTCTGCTTTCCAAAGTCACTGCAGGTGACTTCCCATTGCATTAAGGTCACACTCCCATTGGCTACAATTGCCTCTGGAACAAAGGTCTTATCAGCATCCTCACCTCTGAAGTGGCAGCCACCCAGGGTGACATTTCTTGTCATGTCACTGATCTACTGAGCCTTTCCTTAGCATACCTTCAAGATGTCCAGGTGGGATGGTGTCTTCTTGTGTACCTGGAGGATGCGATCCTGATTTCTGTCTTTCAGGTGAATCTTCAGCCGGGTCACACTGCCCCATGTGGGTTCTATTCAGGAGTGTGTTAATGTTCTGGTTCATTCTATGCTCTGTTCTGAGAGGCTGCCTCCAAATTTTTGTGTACATTTTCATAATGTACATCTGGCTGTGGATTTCTCTCACTGTCTACCTAAACTCTTGGTGATGAAGAAGGAAAAGGCAAAGCAAGAGAGTTTAGAGGAAGAGAATAACAAAAATAGCTTTAAATTTTTAAATTCTATTGATTCTTTAAATGTAAGTGAGTGAGTGCGCGTGTGCATGTGTGTGTGTGTGTGTGTGTGTGTGTGTGTCTGGTTGTCTGTGTGTGCTCCACTGTGTACAGTGCCTACAGTAATCATAACGGTGTGTCAGCTCCCCTGAAGCTGGAATTACAGGAGGTTGTGGCCACATGATGTATGTATGAACTGAGAACCAAACTACCTAGCCCCCAGATGACTTCAAGGAAGAAAGTATGGTCACAGTTGTCTAATGTCTAAGGCTGAATCTTGGTTTGAGTTTGACAAGTCCCTGAACCCTGGGATGTAAGCCATTCCCTCTCCCAGTGCCTCCTTGTCCTCAACAGAAAGTCACAGCGCTCCCTCCATATGAACACAACAGTTGCGTGTGATTTTAGGAACTAGGAGAAGAGGTGGATAATAAGGAATAAAACTCAGTAAACACTGAATAAGTGTGTTGACAGTAATAGGGTGAGGATCCCATGTCACCTGCCCTCCTTCTCTCAAGAGTGGGGATGGCCGCTAAGCTGCAGGACATATGTGTGGAATGGAACCTTTCCTCATACAAGGCACAACTGGCCACTGAGGTCCAGCCATGCTTAAATCCCCTGCTGCATGGAGGAAAGCTGTGGTATTCCACAGCCATCCCACCTGAGGTTGTAGACACAAAATTTCTATCAGAGATGGGCTTTGCCTCCTCTAGTCTAGGGATTATAGGAGCCAATCAGGGAGCCAGGGAGTCTGCCATGTAAGATGCTGGGGTTTCTCAGAGGAACCTCTGGAATGGTCTGAGCTCAAAGCAGAAACGTGAAGAAGAATAATCCACATAGGCAGCTGTCTGAGCACTGTGCTGCCACACTCAGCAGCGCTGTCCTCGTCAACCAATGGCACTGGGATGCTCCGCTGAAGTGCAGGAGGGGTGGGGTGGGGTGTGCAAGGGCACTGGGGAGGCTTGCCAGAGCAGGAAGGGGCTGGCAGTGATCTGCGGAGGGCTCCACAGTTTGTGGTGGTGGGTCTTCCCTCCATGGAGAACCCACCAGAGATGGGTTGCCCAGAACAGAATTGGGAATGTTGAGCTGAGGTCATTCTTTGACTCAGCAAGATGGGTGGGGCAGTGGGTGGTACCCTCCAAAGGTCCATTGCAGGATGCTGATTGGACCAGGTCTGCCCAGGTGAGGCGTTCAGTTTCTATTTCCCAGCTAGGTCTATCAGCCCAGAGGCTGTTTCTCCTTATGACTCAGATGTGCACCTGTTGACAGAATCTACACAGATACACCCTCAGAGGGATGTGGCTGTTCTGGGTGTCCTCTGGGAAATGGAGGAACTGAAGGATGTGAATGGAGAGAACAGGGGTCCCAGAGTCCACACATCCTTGTGTCTTGACCAAGGGTATTGCCAAATGAACAGACGGTGGCAAATGTGGACTTGGGAGACACAAGGAACACAGAGACTGAACCATGACTCTCTCAGAGTGTGTGTCTATGGCAGGATCCACAGTGGAAACTGAGGCCCAGAAAAGAATGTCCTGTTCCACATACCAGAAGGAACTAAGTCAGTGGGTGTCCTGCCTACACCCCTGGCCTTAGCCATCCTCTCTGCAGTCTGGGTGCTGGGTGGGAAAGAGAGCCAGCCTGTGGAGAGGGAGGGCAAGGTACCCAGTCCTGTAAACAGCACCTTTGTGTAATTGAAAGATCCAAGGGCAGAGTCCAAGTAAAGGCAACCTATTTGTCTATACAAGCAAAGAATAGTCTAGAAACTTTACAATTGTTAAAAATCACATTTTCCCTCCAAGTCAGAATCAGTTGTGTGACACTGTGTACAGTACTTGCCCACTCAGAATCTCTCTTTTTCTCCTGATCAATAGATATAGGATCGGCGGCTCTGCTCATCCCTAGCACAGCACTGCTCTCATCACAGCCAGATAGATGTCTGGCACACATGCCACAGTTCTCAAGGGAAAGTGAATACCAAAAAACCTGAGCTTGTCTCTGATCCTGGAGATGCTCAGAGGGAAGAGGCCAGGCTCTGCATCCTGGATTCCAGAACCATCAAGGACTTGGAGTACAGAGGATGAAAATAATTTGAATTTTTTCCACTTGAACTAATTGAAACAACGTCCAGACACAGTGCACATAAACACAGGTGCACACATAGTTCCCTATCAGACAGAGCTCTAAGAAGCTGCATTTCACCGGGCGGTGGTAGCACACGCCTTTAATCCCAGCACTCAGGATGCAGAGCCAGGCAGATCTCTGTGAGTTCCAGGCCACCAAGTGAGTTCCAGGAAAGGCACAAAGCCATACAAGAAACGCTGTCTTGAAAAAAAAAATAGAAGAAGAAGCTGTATTTCAACCTTTATCCCACAGGTTTCCAAAGAGGTTTATTTTCTAACACTTCATTTCTGTGTCTGGGTGCCAGAGCACCCCTTGGCGTTGGGGGACTCTGGTTGAGTGGTGTGGTAGCTAATCTTGGTTGTCAACTTGACCACATCTGGAATTCAATTAAAACCAAATATGGGGCACGCCTGCGAGGGATTTTTGCTTAATTTGAAGTGAGAAGACCCGCTTCTAAGCCGGATCTTTGAGGTGGGAAGACATGCAATTAATACAGATCTTTTCAGGAGGGAAGCCCTGACTCTAATCTAGGCCACGCCTCCTGCTGGAAGCCCATATGAGAACACGGAAGAAGGAAGTTTTTGATCTTTGCCTTCTTGCTTTCACCTCGATAGCAGGTCCATTCCTTCCCTGGCATTAAAGCCTCCTTCTTCAGGATTCCAGCCTGTACTGAAGAGCAGCTGAGACATCCAGCCTTGTGGACTGAGCAGCTACTGGAGTCTTCAACCTTCTATTCATAGGCAGCCATTGTTGGACTAGCTGAACCACAGCCTGTGAGTCATTCTATAAATCCCCTTTCTGTATGTAGAGAGAGATTTATTCTGTAAGTTCTATTCCTCTAGAGAACCCTGACGAATGCAGAGGGTCACGTCTCTCCTTCCTCCACTTTGGCCTTACAGCTGCTCTGACTTGTACCTCAAAGCCCTGCTCAAGGTTGCCATGGACTCACTCTGCTGTCTGCCTGATGGACATGTGTGTGGCTGTGGCCCGACCTGGGCAAATTACAGTCCTGGGTGGGTGTTGTTGACTGTCCTATAAAACTCCACAACCTTCCACAGTTCAACAGCTACAAAGGGGGTGTGTACCCACAGCCAGATGAATGGGCCTCTTCCAGATGTTTAAATTCTTTGACCAGTAAGTTCATTAAAATGCATCTCTGTATTAGTATGATTTTTTGAACCTGTCAATGAAAGATGGATGAATTCATCACCCCTGTACGATAATGTTCCAAGTCTCTGTTAATGTTATGGAACAGAAAGGTTGCTGGCCCTGAGGAGCTGACCCTGGGTCTCACTTTGGGGACCAGACTTCAGAACACCTGTTACATCTCAGTCCATAGGTGGTCCTTTTTTTTTTTTTTTTTTTTTTTTTTTTTTGTCAGAGCTGAGGCCCGAACCCAGAGCCTTGCACTTGCTAGGCAAGCACTCTACCACTGAGCTAAATCCCAAACCCCGACCCATACGTCGTTCTTATAGTTTTTGAACTATTCTCTTTCTATCGCCTTTTAATTTCATGTGAATATGGGAAGGCTGGAACAGGGAGGTGGAGACAAACCTGGAATCCTCACACTTTTGTGGGACAGGCCTAAGATTAGGAGTTCATGGTTCTGCTATGCTACATAGTGAGTCTGAGGCCAGGCTGGACTAGGTGGATACTTTAAGGTTTGGGCAAGAACACTGAGTTACAAGGGCAGAGTGCAGTCCTGAGAGTGAGCCACCATTATCTTCAGCTCTCACCATATCAACAGGTCGTTCACTCTCATCCTGGTCAGGTCCCAGAAGGAGCTGATGCCTCCGACCCACACTGCTAAACATGTTTTCATTCCTTCCTCAGCTTCAGGCAATCTCAGTGCAGATTGTGTGTCTCTTTATGAAGTCTTCCCCACCCTAAATACTACTGAGGACTGGTCAGAGGAAGGAATGAGCATCCTCACACAGTGCCTGTGTTAGATGTTAACGCCCATTAACCCAGTTCTTCTACTTCTACAAACAGCATAAGGAAATAATCTCAAATGCGGGCACTAACAGGCAACAAGAACATTCTTTGCATTACACTTACATAATGATTAGGAACAGCACAAGGTCCAGGAGTCAGGGAGAAGAGCAGATGTCAAAGGCAGCACACAGCAGGACCAGGGCCAGGTAGGACTCCAGGTCCTGATAGGACAAGGAAATCACAGAAGCAAGGAGGGTGTGGTCCCTGGGAATCACAAAGGACTCCACGAACTTACTAAGATGAAGACCCAGTATTTGGCACAAGGCAGTGCTGTGGAAAGAGAAGAAGCATTTACAACATACACACACATACAATGATGCACACGTGTAATATAAAGAGGAGGGAATGCGGTTGTATTTTTAAGATAGTGGAGCTTTGGGGCTGGAGGGACAGCTCAGTGCTCTTCCAGGGTTCCTGCTTTCAATTCCCCAGCAACCCACATGGTGGCTCCCAACCATCTATAATGAGAACTGGTGCCCTCTTCTGGCCTGCAGACATACATGCAGGCAGAACACTGTGTACACAATAAATAAATAAATCTTTTTAAAAAAAAAATTAAGATACTGGAACTTAGTCTTCTGTAAGTGGGATGTGGATTAGCATGTCCCAGGTTCAAGTCCTCACTCTATCAACACTGAAAACTCAAACACATTAAATAAATATATGCCTTTTGAACTCCTTGAAGTCACAAGAGTCTCGACCTAATAGAGTATGTGCAAAGAATTCATTATGTATGAGTAAGGAGCCCAGAGCACCATGGACAGTACGTGGCATGATTTGGAATAGGAATGGCCCTGTAGGCTCATATATTTGATGCCTGCTCATTAGGGTGTGGTGCTACTTGAGAGTAATTAGCAAATAAGGTATTGGTGGAGAGGTTGTGGCCTTGATAGAGGAAGTGTGTCACTCGTGGTGGACCTTGAGGTTTCACAAGCTCAAGGCAGACCAGCGTCTCTCTCTTCCTGCTGCCTGCAGATCTGGATGTAGAATTCTCACCTGTAAAAACACCAGGTCTGCCTGCATGCCACCATGCTCCCAACATGAAGGTAAATAGGTTTAACCTCTGAAACTGTAAACAAGCCCCAAATAAATGCTTAATTTTAAGAGAGTTTCCCGGGCTATGGTGCTCACTCACAGCAGTAGAACGTGACTAAGACAGTAAGTGTAAGAAATGGGACCCAGGCGGTGGTGGCACATGCTTTTAATCGAAGTACTCAAGAGGCAGAGGTATGTGGATCTCTGTGAGTTCAAGGCCTGTCTGGTCTACAAGTGAGTTCCAGAACAGCAAGGGCTACACGGAAATCCCTGTGTCAAAAAACAAAAAACAAAAATTTTAAAAAAGAAAGAAAAAATACCATTAAAACAAACCTGGTTCCCACACCCAAGTGAATACCAGAACATTCCTCGCCATCTCTCATTCTGTGTTTAGAGTCTGTTGTTTCTCCACAGCTGTGTCCTCAGATGACACCTTCTCCATTGTCCCCAACAGGACAGGAGTCCTCCACCTTGGCTGGAGAGAGGTCAAGTTCTCTGGGGCCGTGGTAGTAATAATTGAATGATTTGCGGATCACCTGATCCCTGTTCACAGCACCTGTTCCCATTCTGTCCCACAGGTTGTTCTTCTTCCTGTACATGGACACCTGGTGAGCTGTCAGGAAAGAAAACCTGTCAGGATTCCCTGAGTGACACCAAGACCCAGCAGCTGCCATGGGCTCCCCAGGTAATCAGTCTTCTCTGCTCCTGCTCATGGCCTAGGACTGCCAGAACCACGCACCTGGAAACTCTCACCTTACATTACCTATCCCTTCAGGACCCAGTGTCCCATGCTGTTCTGAGAGTAACGTGGAGGCAGGCAAGGGCCTGCTGCATAGCAGGTCCTCCCTTGGGTGCCTCCTGTCCCTGGACCCCATTAATTCCTTGGGATCCAATCCCCATTGCAGGCTGAGTTAGGACACCCACCCTGAACTTCCAGGACTGGCGCTTGTTTACCAGGTGTGCCTACCTAAGGTGGGGCCTGATGGTTTCTCTCCTCATTTAAAAGAAAAGTCTGAAGTTGAAGCTGAAACCCAGGGGGACAAAAAAGAAAAAAAAAAAACACAGAAACAAAAACAAAAACCAAAAGTGGCTCCTAACCAGTAACCACCCTATACCAAGGGACCACCCACCTCCCTGGAACCACCCTACACCAACCTGATCCATACCAATCTCTAAATCCTTTTGTTCCCGGTCTGCTCCTGGCAACAAATCACAGAGATCCACCTGCCTTAGCCTTACAAGGGCTGGGATTAAAGGCATGCACCACTGTGCTGCCTCCATTTTCTTTTTCAAATGCTTCTATTGGCTCTGTAGACCCTTCATTCATTCATCCACTAAAAGTTAGTTGTTAAAACTAGTGTTAGTCAGTGCTAGAAATGGCTCAGCCGTTGAGTGCACTGGCTGCTCTTCCAGAGGATCCGGGTTCAAATCTTAGCACCCACAAAGGCAGCTCACTGCTATCTGTGACCCCAGTTCCATGGATCTGACACCTTCAAACAGAAATACATGCAGACAAAACACCAATGCACAATTTTTTAAAAATTAAAGAGAACTAGTGTTACTCACTTTGATCATATTTTGATTAATGAGAATGGATTTGGTTTGCTTACAATGTTATAGGATTGGGTCCATCCTATCAGGGAAACAAGGTGGGCAGCTCACATCATGGCACACACACAAAAACAGACACAGCAGTAACAAGAAAAGGCCGGGCTGGAGAGATGGCTCAGAGTTTAAGAGCACTAACTGTTCTTCCAGAGGTCCTGAGTTCAATTCCCAGCACCCACATGGTGGCTCACAACCATCTGTAATGAGATCTGGCACCCTCTTCTGTGTACATAATAAAAAAAAAAATTTAAAAATTTAAAAAAAGAAAAGACCTCTTCTCTCACTGCCCAGCAATCCAACATCCACAATCCTCGGGAGCACTGTCTTCCTGGTGGGCAGAGGGAACCAGTACCCTGTGCTGGCCCATGAACTCTCTTATGTGTCTGGATTGAAGAACTGAGACAGGGAGAGAGAGAAAGGGAATAGGGGTAAGATAGAGAAGGAGGAAATAGTAAGGCGGGAGTTTCTTCCTCTTGCCATGAGGGCACCAACGCTATGGATTAGGGACCTCACTCATGACTTCACTTAATTTCAATTACTTTTCTATCTTAATGGCTCTGTGTGCAAATACAGTCACCTGGGTTACAAATGAGTTAAGGGACACAACTCAGCCCCTACCACTAGTGACACCAAAGTATACATTAAGGGACAGGTGCTCAGAAACACATTTTTTTAATCAGCATATTACAGATGCCATTCAAGTTCTAAAGCATGGTCCCCAACCATATTCCTTTTCCTTCCCATCTAGAGATGAAACACTTCATTAAGTATGTGGTTGAGTATCTTCTGGAAACATGGAGTACAGAAGACCTGCATCGCCTGCTGACTGAAGAGGAAGCCTGGAAACAGCTTGTGGCAGAAGCTGATTTGTCCAGGTCACCACCCTAGGGGAGGCTAGCAATGCCACCAGAGCCCATGACTGGTTGGCTTTTCCTGGGCAGGAATGCTCTACTCAGGAAGACCAAGTAACTGAGGTTCAGGGTGTCCATGCTCAGTAAATATTTCCTCAGTGCTGTTCACTACCAGGGTACAGCTTCTGGTTGAGGAGAGATGGCAGCCACAGGGGACAAGATTGTTCCTGCCATTGCTGGTCCTGTGATCATGACAACTTAGTTTATGACCTTGTGCTTTATTTGGAGACATTGAACTTCATTGTAAGAAAAATCAGAGGATGCATGTAGAGGGCTCACCATATGTCCATCATATAGTATGTGTTCAGCACATAGTAGATGGTAATTGAAAATTGATTTGTACAAAATGTTTTGATTTTCATTTGTGTGTGCCAGTGTGTGCACATGTGTGTGTGTGTGTGTGTGTGTGTGTGTGTGTGTGTGTGTGTGTGTACTTCTTGCACTTGAGTGAGCTTACCTTACAAACTGTCTTTCTCACTCACTTGTCCTCTCCTGTCACAGGGAAGAGGAGGTTTTCTTGCGTAAAGCTCTTGAAGAGATCATTGCAGATGATGATGTAGAAGATGAAGACAGTATCCAAAATGACCTGCAGGACAAGAAAAGGTTTTTGGAAGTTTATCCTCAGGTGAAACTGGAGCTTGAGCAGCAGATCGGGAAGCTGCGCGCCCTTGCAGACAAGATTGACAAGGTGCACAGGGACTGCACCATCACACAAGTGGTGGCCGGCTCCACCGGTGCTGTGTCCGGAGTCCTGACCATCCTTGGTCTCGCTCTGGCACCCGTGACAGCAGGACTCAGTCTGGGACTTTCAGCCACAGGCTTGGGGCTGGGGGCGGCAGCAGCTGTGACCAGTGTGTCCACAACCATTGTAGAAAAGGTCAGCACGGCGTCTGTGGAAGCTGAGGCCAGCCAGCTGGTGCCAACCAGCAAGGACCCAGGGAAGGTCATTAAAGAAATTTTGGAGGAGAGCGCCCCCAGGCTTTTTTCTGTATCCAAGAATTCCTTCCGGAACCTGGAAGTCATCAAGAAGAACATTGATGCCATCAAGCTGGCCAAAGCTAACACTCGCCTGGCATCTAATGCCAAGCGTCTCATGACCACAGGGAGGGTGTCAGCCCGAAACACTAGACAGGTGCAGAAAGCCTTTGGAGGCACAGCTCTGGCAATGTCCAAAGGAGCCCGGATCATGGGTGCAGCTACCGCAGGTCTCTTCCTGGTGCTGGATGTGATCAACCTTGTGCAAGACTCAAAGCATTTGTACGAGGGTGCGAAGACAGAGTCTGCTGCAAAGCTGCGGCAGCAGGCTCAGAACCTGAAGCAGAAGTTGCAGGAGCTCATCAGGGTCCATGACAGCCTGACAAAGTGACCACTTCTTCAATGCAGCTCAGAGGACTGGGGATGGGGGATGCTCTAGATACCTGATAGACCCTGTCTGTATCCCCTCTACAGCAATGTCACCATGGTGGAAGTGCCTGCTACAGGGGGAGGCCACATTAAGAGAAAGGAAGCCACAACACAGATGGGACAGGCCTGGGACCTCCCATAGACTCCACCTCTTAGATCCAGCAACCTCCCAACATCCCACATGAGGACCAAGTTCACAAGCTGGGGAGAAGATCCAAGGCTTGACTGAGCCACAGCATGGCTCCTCCTCAGTCATGCCCACCACACTGCTCCTAGCTGAGGCTCACCATCCTCAATGTCCTCTGAACTGCCAACTTTCCCACTACTTTCTAAATGTGTGCATAGAAACCTTCTCCTCCTTCCTACTTCTGCCTAATTCTCTGTTGTTGGTTTGTTTTCTAAATATTTCCCAATCTTCCAACCAGACTCTGCATATGAACCCCTGTTGTAGAATATTATTTTAAGATGTGTTACATTTGTTTATGCTGTGGAGCACTTACTTTAATAATGCCAAGATGTGCTGCATTCTTTTATGTTGCATTTGTTTAACTCTGTGAAGCTGTGTTACTTTGCCTGTCTAAAACATCTGATGGTCTAATTAAGAGCTGAACAGCCAATAGAAAGGCAGGAGAATGGATAGGCACATCTGGCAGGCAGAGAGAATAAATAGAAGGAGAAATCTGGAAGGAAAAAGGAAAGAGTGAGAGAAGAAGAAGAGGAGGATGCTATGGGCCAGCCACATAGCCACACAGCCACACAGCCACACAGCCACACAGCCATCCACGGAGTAAAAGTGAAAGTAAGATTGCAGAAGTAAAAAAGAAAAAAGCCCAGAGGCAAAAGGTAGACTGGATAATTTAAGGTAAGGAAAGCTGACTAGAAACAAGCCAAGCTAAAACCGGGCATTCATAACAAATACTAAGCCTCCATGTATGGTTTCTTTTCCAGCTGGGTGGCAGGCCTCCCAAAAAGGCCAAAGGAACAAAGACAACCAACAACAAACCCCATTTCTTTGTTCATAGTTTGGTCACGTGGAGTGATGTGTCTTTTGGTGAAATGCTCATAGAATAGAAAGGAAAGGATGTTGGGAATGTCATCTGCACGGTCATCACAGGTTCTTGGTCCTAGTGCCAGCCGTGGGTGCCACAGGAAGGAGAGGTGACAGGGTATGGCTGGTCATTTCTGCTCTCTGCTACCAGATTCTGGGGGAAATCACAAGGTTTAATTCCTATTGAAGTTTAAAATCTGCTGGAACTGGATGAGATCTGCTGAGATGCACATGAAGAGCTACACTTGCTCCATAGTATTTGAAGAGTAATTTGTGAACACTGACCTGGTCATGCTTTGTGTGTTTTCTGCAAATAATATCAAGGGTTTTCTGGATTTCTGACTATAGAAAGATGATAATTGTCTCCTGGTATTCATCAACTCCTCTTTTAAAAACTGTTTCCTTTCTTGTGGTTTAAAAAGAATATTTGAAATTTATTTATTTTATTTATGTAGACAAGTGTTTACCTGCATGTTTATGTGTTCACGAAGTCTATGAAGTGGCCAAAAAAGTCAGAAGTGGATATCAGATCTGATGGATCTTAGGTATAAGTGGTTGTGAACCATCGTGTAGGAGCTGGGAATTGAACTCAGGATCTCAACAAGAGCAACAGATGCTCTTAACCACTGAGCCATCTCTCCAACCCCAGAATATTTGAAATTTAGACAAGAAGCATTTCCTTCTCTTTGCTGCCCTCCCCTTCTGGCCGCAGATGCTCCCCTGAGGCTGCAACACCGAGTGGTGTCCCCTCCTCCCTTGCAGCTCCAGCGCCTTCCTCCCAAGTTCTCACCAATGGAGACTGACGGATGACCTGTGCATAGTCTAGGTCTTGTCCTCTAGAGGAACTTTCTTGTGTTCCAATGCCCCTCCTGTCCTTCCTGGACTGGAATGTCTGCCTAAGGGAAAGCTGGATGTGGACAGAACCATCTCCCTGGGATGCAGAGCAGGAACAGAACAGAGTCCTGGAAAAACTTAGGAAAGAAAGCTACCTGCGTCCTGAGCTGCCTAGCAACTTGCTCCTAGTGTCCAAGTTCATTGAGTCCTCTCTACTGTTGAGCCCATGTGCTGTGTTGGTGAACTCTGTGCCAGCTGCTCAGCATCTGTCCCTTAACTAACTCAAGAGCCATCACCAGAGCTCACCACACCCTTGACCTTGAACCCTGTACTCTTTCCTGACATGTCAGTCTGGCCCTTTGGGACATCAATTATTGAAGAGCCTGTCCCTTTGTCCTTGCACTCCTCCAGGCTCTCAGGCCTCTGGAAACCACTGCACCACAGCCCTTTGAATGAATGACCACTAGGTGTCCAGTGCTCAGTGTCCAGATAGATCCCTGCAGCCTTCCAGTCCAGGGCCACCTCACCTCCACAGTTCTGCCCACCTAGGAACAGACCTTCCTTTATGAAGGAGACAAACAAGCCATGGTGGCTGTGGGGGGAGGATAGAGATGGCCTGTTGTCACTTTTCATAGATACAGTGTTACTTTATGGGTGATGAAAGTATCCTAGTAGGAAGCAGAATATTTTCAAAAAAGAGAGACATATAATAAGAACTTAAAATGAATTTATGTGATGTAATAATGTGTTTCAGATTTTAAAAGTGCTCTTAACAAAAGAAAAGTCTGTAGAAGAAGACCAAGAAGTTCTCAGAGCTAACTAGAGACCCCTGAAAGGGACATGACAGATGGACAGAGTGAAGGAAGGACAGTGCAGAGGAGAAGCTGTGACCAGGTCTGTCCCTGCCGAACACAAGTGACAGGAAACAGGACTGTGACTTCAGCTGCTGCCTCTGGAGGGGTACTGCATTCAGATCAGGCTCTGAGGGTGTCCTGAGATGTGGGAAAGACTAGGAGGGTCCTCATGTTGAGCTATGATTCTCAGCCACAAAAAGGGTCAAATAATAGTGCCCACAGCATTGCAGATGGCGGTCAATAGCACATGCTTAGTCAAAACAGAGCCAAATGGAATGGGTTATAACATCCATGATTCCAGTTATAAAAATAAACTATTAAAATGAAAAATGATGGATAAAGTGTAGAGTTGGAGGGTTGCCTTGTGTATAGGGAAGGTGCAGGACCCTGAAAGATGAAAGGTGTCTTTGTGGTGATAGAAAATTCTTGACCTTGATGTGACAAGGGCTCTATGAACCCATGTCTGTGATGAATAATCAAGGACGACTGTGAACACATGGAAATGACACAGTCAGATCAGTGGAGTTGCAGTGTGTGCTGAGGTCAAGCTCATTGGGCAGGCATGGCAAAGGAAAGCAGTTCACCACATGGCAGCCAGGAAGAGACAAGGAGTGACAGGAAGGAGACACAGCCATGACAGCATTCAATGGCATGCTCCCACTGACCCATTATCTATCTCTATGTATACATCACTTTCTAGTAGAGTATTTAGAATTTTACTCATTCAGTAAATTAAACCATTTAAGCCAAATCCTTCTCCAAGCAATCTCTGCAAACTCAGACACAATCAAAGGCAAGTTCTATTAACATGCATACTGTCTCGCAGTTCAGTCAAGTGGACAATCACATTGACCATTCACACCTTGCCTTCTGCCTTGCTATTTCTCCATGGTAAGTTTGGTGCTATGCAAGGGGTTGGAAATGTAGAAGATTTGGTAAGAACCCTGACAAGTTTCAGGAGGGATTTGTAGTGTTGATCTTCTGCCCTCTGGTGGGTAGAGTGTGGTGGCCTTATTCCATTGCTTCCACATGAAACAAAAGGGAAGAATAAATAAATACAAAAAGGGAAGGAAGAGAAGTTGCTGTGGGCAGCGCTTACCCACAGAGTACCATGTACAGGGTGGGCAGTGATGCCATTCCAAAGAAAGACCTCAAGTGGGATTACAGTTGTGAGATCCTCAGGAAACAGATCCAAGTATCAATCACCTGCTTGGCTCGGGCAAAGAGCTGTGTGTAGTTCACTAGGGATTTGGGACAAATTCTGAAAGAGCATTTAGAGCAGTGTTTCTCAACCTATGGGTCAGGACCCCTTTGGAAAGTCAAACAACCCTTCCACAGGGGTTGTATATCAGATATCGTGCATATCAGATATTTACACTATAACTCAAAACAATAGCAAAATTACAGTCATGAAATAATGACATAATTTTAAGGTTGGGAGGGGTCACCACAACATGAGGAACTGTATTAAAGAGTTGCAGCATTAGGAAGGTTAAGAATCACAGGTTTAGTGTAAGGTTGAGACTCCAGCTATAATTCCCAAATGGACAGAAGCTCTTAGAAAATCTACAAATAGAGACCTCAAATCAGCTGGAGGGAGAGGCCTGACACCCATGGACTGCTTAACCAGCTCCGGACATCAAGAAATATCAGCAATCTGCAATAAAGATACCCAAATCCCATAGCCATCTGCTCCCTGAAGCCCTTCTAGCAGGGGAGTCTGTGTTAATTGCCTTTCATCACTGTGAATAAATCCCCAATAGAAACAGTTAAAAAGAAGGAAGGATTTATTTGTGTTTGTGGTTTCATCCGTTGTGATCTCTACTTGGCTGGACCATGGTTTCTTGGCCTTGAAAGGCATCACGGCAGACAGGGGTGTAGGACTGAGGCTGCTCACCTCACTGTAGCCAGTAAGCGGAGAAGGGAACTTGAAAAAGCTTGTCCACATCAGTGTGACTCTGAAGTCACAATTGCCTCGGTGACCCTTCCCCCAAGCAGCTAAGAATTCAGAGAAGACATGAACAGTGGTGGAGACATGCTGTTAGAAGAGAAGGAATGTGAGATCAAGTCTGTGCATCTGAGTGTTGGAGAGTTTGCATTTCTGTGTCCGAGCACAGCAAGGTCAATGCAGACAGTCAGTGACTCAAGGAGAAGACAGAAACTGGAGTCTGAAAGAAGGGGCAGAGTGGCCCAGAGAGTGGGGAGTGGGACTGAAACATGGTGGGTGTGAACAGGGAGGGCTGTACAGGAACAACCAATGAGAAAGCAGGAAACCTGGGGAGCTGAAAATGGGAGAAAGCCAGAGTGGGAGTTCTGGGCATGGAGAAATCATTGCACTTCACCACATCCCTCCCCACAAGACAATGCCCTGGGGTACCCAGTATCATCAGGACCGACTCACCCTTGTGCCTTCCAGGCAGAGACTTCGGGATGACAGTAGTGGTGCTGATGGTAGAGATGCTACTGATGCTGAGAATAGTGGGGAACACTACAGAGCAGATGGAGCTCTGGGCAAGTGTCCAGTCCTCCAAGGGCACAGGATGACCTGAAGACCCAATGCAATTAAAATGAATTTCCATATGCTTTGCTGAGACAGTGGTTGACTAAGGGATCAGGGAGGGGTGAAGCTAGATCTGAGTAAAAGGTAAAACAATTTATGGTGTGGTGACATAAACCAGTTTGGAGTCATGATGCTGTGGGCCTCATTTCCTCTCAAGAGGTGTTGGATAAGATAAAGTCTCAGACAGGGCTTGGTGGCACACACCTTTAATTTCAGCGCTTGGGAGGCAGAGGCAAGTGGATGTCTGTGAGTTCGAGTCCATCCTGGTCTGTAAGGCAAGTTCCAGAACAGTCAGGGCTGCACAAAGGAACCCTGTCTTGAAAAACAAAAAGCCAAAAACAAAAACAAACAAACAAACAAAAGGCCCACCAGGTATGGTCTTGTTGAAGAAGGAAGTGTGTCATTGGAAGTGGGCTTTATTTCTTGGTCACTCTCTGCTTCATGCTTATAGTTCAAGATTTGAGCCCTCAGCTTCTGCCACCATGCCTACTACATGCTGCCAGGCTTCCCCTCCATGACAAACTCTGGAACCGTAAGTCCAAATAAACTCTTCTCTTTTTGTTTGTTTGTTTGCTTGTTTGTTTTGTTTTGTTCTTCGAGACAGGGTTTCTCTGTGTAACTTTGGTGCCTGTCCTGGATCTCGCTCTGTAGCTCAGGCTGGCCTCAAACTCACAGAGATCCGCCTGCCTCTGCCTCCCGAGTGCTGGGATTAAGGTGTCAAATAAACTCTTCTTTAAGTTGCCTTGGTCATGGTGTTTTATCACAACAATAGAAAAATAGCTAATACAGAAACTATGGATAATGGGAGGCCAAGGGAAGCAGCAAGCCTGGAGGCCTGCCACATGGGTCACAGGGAAGGGTTTATATGCTGAGCAGGGTAACAGTGACATTCACCAGAGACAAATGTGTCTGCTTTGCCTCAGCTGACACCAAGGATACCAGGCATGTCTCTAACACCGACAGCACTGGGGTGCTTTGGAAATTCCCACATGTCACTACAATGACAGGGAGGCCATGCAGGGTTTCTCACAGATGCTCTTGATGATTGTGAGTCAAGACGGCTGCAGCCAAGCTGGATGGCCGCACTGACTCAGCCTCTGCTGTGTTGACTGGCTCCCCTGGGCACCCGACTTCCCCTCACCATGAACCTTTCTGTCAGCATGTTGTCAGGCAGCAAGTCTTTCACGTCCTTCCTATGCACTCACTGTCCCTCCACCCAGGCATTTCTTTCAGACTCTGTCACCTCAGGCCACCCTGGAACAGTGGGTGAAGCTCACTTATGTCTGGCTAGGGTGGACACAGGTACATTCCTTAGCCATCCGCTGAGCACAGCTGACTTTGCTTGGAGGACCCATGTTCAGGTGTGGGCAAGGGTCAACTGTAGAGGGACCAAGATAGACAGACAGACAGCAAGCATCCTCATCCAAGTTGCCTTCATATTCCTTCTCTGCTCCTGTAGAAGCCTCTAGAATGGTCTTTCTTGCTGTGTTCCTGCCCATGCACATTGTCCAGAAACAGATTGTCCCTTGAGAAGGTAGATTTGATTGATCAGATGTTTACCTCTCTGTGACGGCTTCCAGTACCCTTAATACAAACAGTCAGAATTTAACGATGTCTGAATGAGTAATTGGAATGAACCGCAATTAAGGCCAAAAGGTGTGTCTTAAACCCTGTGGCTTTCAATTTTAACTTCAACAGCTCATCTTCGGTCCATAAGCCTAAACAGGGCAGAATGTTACAATGTTTAAATGATCCTGGTCATACCTGAGCGGACATTTCTGAAAGGAATTCCTTAGGTTCTTCAGCAATAGGCTGCAGGTCCTGCTGTCCCTGAAAGAGTCAGTTTGAAGGGACAGTTGCAAAGCTTCTTCACTGGGAAATGGTAGTGGAGAAGACTGTGTCCTGTCCTGCCCTGCCCCTGGGGATAGTAACTCAGGGTGGCGTGATGCTTGTACCTCCTGCCTTAGACACCACATGGATGTCTTAGTTTATACTATGGCTGGCCTCTGGCCTCTTTCTGGTTTAAGGTATCTTTCCTATTGTTTTTGTCTTAAGAAAACATAGTTGGCATCTTTGCTTATGACCAAGAAAACTGATAGATACCAAGAGACAGAGGGTGGCTTTGTGTATTCAACAAAAATACTTTGGCTAAGGAGACTGCATCAGCATTTGAGCTTGAGGAATTCAGGAGCTCCCATCTTTGTTTTCCAAGACATATCACTGCTATAATGGTGGCCACACTGGAGCTATGAATCAATGTCCTGTGAATATCCCTACTCCTGTCCCTGTAAACCATGATGATGGCACCAACTGATGCTAATTTTTGACTTTGACATTTTGGTAGATATGGAGAACCCAGTGGCCTCCACCTGACAGTCTTTCTGAAAGAACAGCTCTCCTCTCCCACCCATAGATCTGCTGGACTAGATGAAGCATCCGACTGGGGCACTTCACAGTCTGTAACATGCATGTTTGCATTTCATTCAGTAGGAAGGGACCTGCACTGTCCATGGTTCCTTCTGAGATGTCACTCAAACAGCTCAGGAGATACATGGAAATGGACTTGGTGCCTATGAACCCTCAGAGTTAGACCTTAATGAGGGAAAAGTAGAATCTCAGAGGCAAGGCAAGCTACCTACCCAGTGGGATAAAACCAAATTTTGGAGTGATTGACTGCCTTTGAGTACCCTCCCTATATAATCTGCTGGCTAAAGATGAGATGAAACAGATCTTTAGAGTTTTAACTTGATTTGATTTCTATTGCTGTGATAAACACGGCCAGGAGAGGAGAGGGTTCTGTGGACCTATTGCAAGGGATGCCAAGGGACACTCAAGTCAGATCCTGTTTCTTCTCTGACCAGCAGACAGCAGAGGTGACCTGTGCCTTTATGGATCCCAAAGATTCATGTAGATGCAGTCAGTGTCCAACAGTCTTGACCAGCTCACCATTACCTGAGGGATGCCCCAGAGCCAAGGAGAATAGAGATGAGAAATATTCAAAGGTCACACATATGACATATGAAATACTACAGGCAGATCCTGCCTCCCTTCCTTCAAGCCTGTTCTATGACTTGGGTCTGAGGACTGAGTGACAAGCAGAGACTGTCCTTCCTGTGTGATGACCTGTGTGTGGTCCATGAATGGTAGATTGGGAGTTTTACAAAGCAAGTAGACTGCCTATCCGCTGTGCTTCTGGGAATCTCGGCCTGTTGAACTATGGCTGATCCTTGATCCCTGATCCTGTACCAGCCCTGCTATTCAACTGAATACTCACTGCCCACGCTTCTCCTGTGGCCATAGACTACCTCTAAGGAGAGGTCTCTTGGAATTCCTCCCTAGAGGGATCCAGGCCTAACACCTCATCCTATTCTACAGAGTTCCCATGTATCCATGTATTATTCACACCAAAATAGAGTGAATCTCCCATGCCAAGGCAAGAACACAGTGTGGGCAGAAGATTCTGAGAACCTAACTCCAACAGCCCATTGCCTTCAGGTGTTGGTTCATTTTCTCCTTCTTTTCTTCTTCTCTTACTTCTTCCTCTTCTCGTTTTCTTCCTTGTTCCTGACCCAAACAATAATAGCAGACTGGAGAGATGGTTCGTCGGTTAAGAGCACTGACTGCTCTTCCAGAGGACCCAGGTTTAATTCCCAGCACCCACATGGCAGCTAACAACTGTCTGTAACTCCCAAGATCTGACATGTAAAGACCCATACATGTAAAATAAAAATAAATAAAACTTAAAATTAAAGCCAGGCAGTGGTGGTGCATGCCTTTTATCCCAGCACTTGGGAGGCAGAGGCAGGCAGATCTCTGTGAGTTTGAAGCCAGCCTGGTCTACAGAGTGATTTCCAGGACAGCCAAGGCTACACAGAGAAACCCTGTCTCGAAAAATTTAAAAAAAGAAAAAGAAAGAAAGAAAGAAAGAAAGAAAGAAAGAAAGAAAGAAAGAAAGAAAGAAAGAAAGAAGGAAAAAATTCAGCCGGGCGGTGGTGGTGCACACCTTTAATCCCAACCCTCAGGAGGCAGAGGCAGGTGGATCTCTGTGAGTTCGAGGCCAGCCTAGTCTACAAAGCGAGTTCCAGGAAAGGCACAAAGCTACACAGAGAAACCCTGTTTCAAAAAGCCAAAAAGAAAGAAAGAAAGAAAGAAAGAAAGAAAGAAAGAA